ACAACGTGAGGAAATTACTGCCGAGAAACTGGCATTTGTCAGCAAAGGGATCGGCATTGATCATCAGGGCACTGATGATCAGTGCCGCCAACCTGTTCCCATCAGTGCCGCCAACCTGTGCCTAGCAGTGCCGCCCACCTGTGCCTAGCAGTGCCGCTCGCCTGTGCCCTGCAGTGCCACCCATCAGTTCTGCCCATTAGTGCCATCCATCAGTGCTGCCCATCAGTGCCACCCATTAGTGCTGCCCATCAGTGCCACCCATCAGTGCAGCATCATCAGTGCTGCCTATCAATGCCACTTATCAGTTCCCATCAGTGCTGCCTCTCCATGCCACCTCATCAATGCCCATCAGTGCTGCCTATCTGCCTCATCAACGCACATCAGTGATGGAGAAAAATTACCTGTTTGTAAAATTTTATAAATAGAAACAAAGAAAAACTTTTTTTTTCACATTTTTTGGCTCTTTTTTGTTTATAGCGCAAAAAAAAAAAACACACCCAGCGGTGATTTAATACCACCAAAAGAAAGCTATATTTGTGTGAGAAAAAGTGATAAAAATTTCATATGGGTAGAATACGTTGAATGACCGCGCAATTGTCATTTAAAGTGCAACAACCCTGAAAGCTGAAAATTGGCCTGGGCAGGAAGGGGGTAGAAGTGCCCAGTAGGCAAGTGGTTAAAAATGCGTAGAAAGCCTGGCAAAAGCGCGGTAAAAAATGCCTATGTTTTGCTGTGTTTTTGCGGCGGATCAGTGTGAAAGTAGCCATAGGCAGTGATCCTTTGTCAGGCTTTCACCTTTGCATAATGTACAGTGTGTGCTATACAGTTCCCGGACCTTGGTCCATTTCTGTGGCTCTTAAGCCATGAAGATACAGCATGCCCACCATGACTGGTGAAGCCTTGACCTCTAGTAGGCCCAGCATAGTGGATAAGGTAGGACAGGCTTTCCCTATTGACACCAGTTCCTGGCTTTTAATAACGCACTCCGCAGTATGTAGCACACCATGTGATTTATAGGCAGAGGATTTGGGAGTTATTCACTTGGTGGTAATAGCTGTTCACTTGTCCCAGAGCAATCTCTTAATATGTCAATGCTCCCCTCATCTGATTCTACCTCCCTCTCAGACACAAATCATGAGACCTATCTGACAAAAGTTGTTTTTCTCTGCCACTATGAATGCTTTGGAAGACTCCCAAACCATTAGTTTCCAGAGGCCAAAAATGCTACATGTCCTCTATTCCCACTGACCGTTCTGTTCAAGAATCAGACGCAGAACCTTCTTTACCTGAGGACATCATGGAGGAAATTGAGGACCCTAAATTTGTAATAGAGACAGCAGAGGCTGCAGCTTCACGTAAAATGCTCTCTACTGTGGAAAGATTCATTAATGTGGTGCGCACTAGTCTTTGCCTAACAGTACCTGACTCTACAGCCAAAACAAGCCCCTGTGGGCACTACAAGATTGGCTAAGTCAAGAAAGACTCTTTCCATAAAAGCACATTGTGTATGCAGTATATGAGGATTGTACCTTCTAATCTGCCAGCTTCAGACAAGAAGAAGAAAGATTTAAAGACTTCCTGGCAACAACTTTTGGCACACAGAGTAGTTGGATCAGTTCTCTTAGAACTGTTTGGAGGTTTCTATTCAAACCTATTGACAGTTCCAAAACCAAATACTGGACTTAAAATCTCTAAACAGATTTCTTCAGGTACCAAAGTTATAATAGTTGTAAACACCATGGGCCGGTTCACACTATAGAAAAACGCAGTCCAGATGTGTTTTTGGTGCTTTCTGGTGCATTTTTGATACGTTTTTGCCGCATTTCAGTGTTTATGCATTCCAGTTAATTTTTTCCCCCCTCATTTTCAATTTAAATAGGGACATGTGTGTTCCAGTGCGTTTTGTGCAGAAAAAATGCAGTATGTTCTTTTTTTTTTCTGCAACTGGACCGCACTGGAACTGAAAGCACTGATGTGAACTATGACATTGACAACCATATAACCTACTTTCTGTGCATTTTGGATGCAGAAAAAAAGCAACTGAAATGCATGTAGTGTGAACTGGCCCTAAAGGTTTTATATTTTAAAGTGGTTGTAAACCTCAGACATGAAATATGAACAAAGCAGAGCCCTCAATAGTGTGTGCATGTCTCGATCCAGAGCACCAAGTGTCATTTCTGTTTTCTGCTTCGTTCTACTATAAGCATGGGTCAGTTCTGACAAGTTTTCCTGACACCAAGAGAAAAATGGTGACAGGGGAGGGAGCTTCAACAGAATGATCGCCTCAGCTCTGTTTCTGTGTAAAGGGGGCATGTCCCTTCCCTCCAATCAGCTCTCAGAGCTCTCCTCACTGATGTAACTTCAACTCCCCGCCCTCTGCTTTTCGGAGCTGAGAGATCCTGTGTAAATTCTGCACTTTGAATGGATGTAGGGGAAAGATGGCTATAGATAGGTACAACTACGTTTACCACCTAATCCCTTTAAAACTAACACATAATAGTTACACAGGTTCTGAGGCTAATTTAATGCAGATAAGTCACTAAGTGAGTTTAATTACCACCTTATTCCGCCACTGAACCTGTGTATTTAATTAGTATTCAGTTTTAAAGGGATGAGGTGGCAACCCTAGGTACAACTTGCGTAGGAGGATTTGTTTCATCTCTGTGTATCACCTGAGGCCAGTCACTTCACTGGTTAAATGTGAGGGTTACGACCACTTTAATTTATTCTCTGCAGTAAGGTAAACACAATTGCACTGTCTGCCCCCCCTCCCCTTCTAACACTTAGTCCTTTATTGATCCAGCCCTCTTCCTGGCTGCAAGTCTTCTCTCTCTTCTTTCTGGTCTCACAGGCTTTGCTGATATCAATCAAATCCAGTGCGGGGAGCAGGTGGTAGCACTGAGCCATGCTGTGTGTGTCGTGTGTCAAGTTGTTATCTGAGTATTTTATGTTCTTTAACCTTGTTGTTTTTTTGTGAGCTTGTTGGCAGTTTTGTTTTACTGTGTTGTTGCTCACCCCTCAGTTTATAGCTTCGGAATATTCTATGACCTATGTATACAAGTCCTGCATCCTGTATTCTTTGATTAAGATAGTAGGAATTGTGACTTACAGTGGGGATCGAAAGTTTGGGCACCCCAGCTAAGAATTTGTATTAATGTGCATAAAGAAGCCAAGGAAAGATGGAAAAATCTCCAAAAGGCATCAAATTACAGATTAGACATTCTTATAATATGTCAACAAAAGTTAGATTTTATTTCCATCATTTACACTTTCAAAATAACAGAAAACAAAAAAGGCGTCTCTGCAAAAGTTTGGGCACCCTGCAGAATTTATAGCATGTACTGCCCCCTTTGCAAAGCTGAGACCTGCCAGTGTCATGGATTGTTCTCAATCATCGTCGGGGAAGACCAGGTGATGTCAATCTCAAAGGTTTTAAATGCCCAGAACTCATCTGACCTTGCCCCAACAATCAGCACCATGGGTTCTTCTAAGCAGTTGTCTAGAAAACTGAAACTGAAAATAGTTGACGCTCACAAAGCTGGAGAAAGCTATAAGAAGATAGCAAAGCGTTTTCAAATGTCAGTATCCTCTGTTTGGAATGTAATTAAGAAATGGCAGTCATCAGGAACAGTGGAAGTTAAAGCAAGATCTGGAAGACCAAGAAAAATATCAGACAGAACAGCTCGCAGGATTGTGAGAAAAACAATTCAAAACCCACGTTTGACTGCACGATCCCTCCAGAAAGATCTGGCAGACACTGGAGTTGTGGTACACTATTCCACTATAAAGAGATACTTGTACAAATATGGTCTTCATGGAAGAGTCATCAGAAGAAAACCTCTTCTACGTCCTCACCACAAAAATCATCGTTTGAACTTTGCAAATGAACATATAGACAAGCCTGATGCATTTTGGAAACAAGTTCTGTGGACCAATGAGGTTAAAATTGAACTTTTTGGCCGGAATGAGCAAAGGTACGTTTGGAGAAGAAGGGGCACAGAATTTATGAAAAGAACCTCTGTCCAACTGTTAAGCATGGGGTTGGATCAATCCTGCTTTGGGGTTGTGTTGCAGCTAGTGGCACAGGGAACATCTCACGAGTAGAAGGAAAAATGGATTCAATAAAATTTCAGCAAATTTTGGATGGTAACCTGATGCCATCTGTGAAAAAGCTGAAGTTAAAGAGAGGATGGCTTCTACAAATGGATAATGATCCTAAACACACCTCGAAATCCACGGGGGATTACATCAAGAGGCGTAAACTGAAGGTTTTGCCATGGCCTTCACAATCTCCTGACCTCAACATAATTGAAAATCTATGGATAGACCTTAAAAGAGCAGTGCGTGACAGACAGCCCAGAAATCTCAAAGAACTGGAAGACTTTTGTAAGGAAGAATGGGCAAAGTTACCTCAAACAAGAATTGAAAGACTCTTGGCTGGCTACACAAAGCATTTACAAGCTGTGATACTTGCCAAAGGGGGCAGTACAAGATATTAACTCTGCAGGGTGCCCAAACTTTTGCAGATGCCATTTTTTTGTTTTCTGTTATTTTGAAAGTGTAAATGATGGAAATAAAATCTAACTTTTGTTGACATATTATAAGAATGTCTAATCTGTAATTTGATGCCTTTTGGAGATTTTTCCATCTTTCCTTGGCTTCTTTATGCACATTAATACAAATTTTTAGCTGGCGTGCCCAAACTTTCGATCCCCACTGTACCTGTAAATTGTTTTATTTTGGATTATAGTATAGAACACAGGCCCCTCAATAGGTTCCCCTTACAAGTTTTTTTTTTGCCAATGTTCAGTCACCTCGGGATATTTTGCATATACCCATAGTCTATGAATACAAGTCCTGTGCCCTGTACTATACTTCAATATAAGTAATTTACAAGTCAAAGTTCCTATTCTTACAGTTGTTATCTTTTTGTGTTAAATCATAAATGTATGTATATTTTCCATGGTTCTAGTATAATTGTTGGTGCAATATCATTTTAGGAACTTTTCGGTTATGGGGTCATGCTATTCAAGTAGACTGGGCAGACCCAGAGAAAGAAGTTGATGAAGAAACGATGCAGAGAGTTAAGGTCCTGTATGTAAGGAATTTGATGATATCAACTACAGAAGAGACTATCAAAGCAGAGTTTAATAAATTTAAGCCTGGATCTATTGAACGTGTCAAAAAATTGAGGGACTATGCTTTTGTACATTTTTTTAATCGAGATGATGCCATTGCAGCAATTTCAGTAATGAATGGGAAATGTATTGATGGAGCAAGTATCGAGGTTACTTTAGCTAAGCCTGCAACTAAGGATTCTAATTGGAAACAAAGAAATGGCAATTTGAGTCAGAATGCAGAAAGTTTGCTTTTGTTTGCAAATCAGGAGGAAGTATCACAAAAGCCTGTTGGAAGATCTTCAATTTTACCTGCTACTCTTAGAGGCAGAGAAAGTCCAATATGTTCTGAGTCTGAAAGAGGCACATATCCTTTCTATCCTGGCACAAAGCTTAGCCCAATAAATGTTCAGTCTTTAAAGCCTAATCATTTTCACACTGCTGTGATGCATCTAGAGTATTACTGTTACAAAAATAAAATAGCTTTTCCTGAATATTATTTGTATTCAGCTAATGGCCAGGATGGAAAACTGCTTCTGATTTATAAGGTTATACTTCAAGCCGTTGGTAATAATTGCCAGAGCTGCTTCATACCTGACAGGCTATGCATCTCATTGGAAGAGGCAAAGGAACTGGCAGCACAATTTACCTTGATGCATTTGGGTAAGTTTAAAATGTTCACACAGTTTCTTTAGGGAAATGCCTGCTTTGAACAAGACAACAATAGTTCCATTTCAACCTTACTAGTGTTTCTCCCTTTCTTGAATTTCAGCTCTTTTGGTTATGCTAGAGAAAGATACATTTTTAGTTCAAAATGACTAAGGGAGGTGGAAAGAAAGCAAAATCACTTAGTCTGCAGTAGTGCGATATGTAAAGGAAAGTAGAACTGGTACCACAAAACATGGAAAATAGTTGTAGTCCAAGATATTCTGATTGAATCCATCCCAAAACCAGGTCTAGAGGTGTACTGCAAGTCCTGCGACAATCAATTTTTCCTCCTTTTGTGCATACTGCTGTCACTCTTCCCCTCCAGAGACCTCAGGCAACACATTGCTGATGACCAGATACAATACAATAAAATCTTGCATTCATCTTTCAGTTCTATTCCCTATGTGTGCTTTAGAGGTGACTTGCTATTTCACATTGGCAATCCTAGTTTCTAAAAACTCCATTTTACAGAGTGTTGTCACAGATATATTTTAGAAAGCCAGAGAATAAACTAAAGCTGCAGGACTCTGCAGTATTTTTTTTAAATAAATTGTAGTTCATTATTTATTACTAGCTATAGTCATGTCAGTGACCACAGTTCTACTTTAACCAGGTGAATAATTTATAATTGCTGTAACACATTGCACTGCATGGTAGCATGTTAAGAAGAAAAATACACTGTAAAAATATCTGTTAGTTTTTTGGCCAAACAAAGAAAACAAAACTGTGTATAGCCGGCTTAACTGTCCATTGTCTATGGTTGTGTCCTTTAAAGCTAATCTCCATTGTTTAGTAAAATATAAATATTTCATTTGGACCAAGCTAGTCTAAATATATAAATCATGTATAATAATAATAAGAAAAAATAAAAAAACTAAACTCCAGAGAGGGGGAAATCCTGTAATCAGGTGGCTGACCCTGCTGATCCTTAAAGGAGGCCTCTGGAACATACCTCACCCAGTAACTGCTGAGCTGCCCATTGAGAGACGGATGCCCTAGATGTATACCTCGTTACCCTGCCGCTCCTGGTTTTGGATATATCAAATGCGCATAACCTATGCGCTTCTGGTAAGCGCATAATAATTTCATCTTTTGCTTGGAACATCATAAAGAAGGATACGCTTATGTTGGCATTATACATGGCATCAGTTTATATTGAATCGGACTGTGATTTCACATATACTTACCTAACGCTGCACTTTATATTTATTATTTACCAGAGGTTTTTAGGTGGTTACCTTTTAGGTGGTTATCAGCTGCTATTATGGAGAGCGCTCACTATTACTACTGCTGATTTTTAATAATAATAAACTACCTATCACGTTCACTAACATTTGCAGTGGCTGTGTTTGCTATATATACTGTATGTACCCTCAGCACACGTGTGCGGTACTCACGGAAAGGTCCCGGTCCGCTTTCTCGATCGGGACCTTTCCCGATCATGTGACCGGCCTTGACGTGACGTCACGGCGGCCACATGACACTAAGCCCCGTCCCGCCCACCTCCCAGCGCAGGAACTCCTCTTCACGCCGGGTTAAACAGTGCCCCCAGGGACGTTTACAGCTCTGTTAGTGAGGGTAATAGTTCTTAGCACCGCCTTGGTCTATACAAACTAAACTTCACTAAAAGCTGGACATTAGCATTAAATTAATCTCTCCTGGCTGAAAAAGCGGCTATAATCATCTTATTTTTGAAGAGCGGGTACTTTCTGGTGCCTCCAGGTATCTGTGTTAGACTTCAAATTATTCCAGTTAGCAGTTGAAAGACCAGGTTAAATCGTAAGGTAGCCATACACTATACAATCTAATTGTACAGTTTCCTTTAGCTTTACCAAAACTTTGTAATATGAAGACAAACCTAAACAATCTGTGAAATAGATATCAAATCTTAATGGTAGGTGTAAAGGAGATTCTGCAATCAGATTGTATAATGTATGATCAGCCCTAGCACAAGGAGCTGACAATATTTGGGCAGTCCATAGATCAAAACTTTTTTTTTTTTTTCATTCAACCTGAGTGCCTCATCCACACATTTGAAATGGATGGGTGAATGCTTCCACTGTGTCATTGTATCTGACAGCGGAATTCACTGATCAGCGTTGCCAGCTATATCTGGTTGCTCTTAGCGAGCAGAAATTTTCCAACAGGGCAGTTGTACAGAAATTGGTTGGAAGATCGACTTCTGTACAGGCACCCTTGCCCGCATAGGGCTTAAATTTCTACTGGTCCCTGCTGAACTGTCCAAATTTCGATCCCATCTGTGGCCAGTTTTAAAACTGACCTAAGGAAATGTCAGTGCTCTTTACGATGCCTAACATAGGAACTAAGGAGTCTCACATGGATGGGTTTGAAGACTAACACTGGTGCATGCTCTTTAGCAAAGCTGTTAGGTTAGGCTTGTTTTAGGGCAGGATACATTCACTTTATTAGGTTCCATTCAAACTTGTGCGACTTCAAAATCAGGCAATTTTCATTGTGACTTTACAGTTCGACTTGATGCAGTTTTGAATAAGTGTGACTTTGGCTTTGACCAGGGATGATTGTGTTCTACAAAGTTGGACACAAGTCACATATATCATTCAGCTGCAACTTTCATACGACTTTGGAGGGTTTACATTGAAGTCTATGTCCCTCAGGTCACATGAAAGTCGGACCAAATTAGTGCACAAACCACATTCAAGTCGCTGTGACACCTATGAAACTATCCCTAGAGTTTAGTTTTTACATTATTTTTACAGCTTATCAGTCCCTAAATGTAGTGGCTGCATTTCTTTTTCCATGTTTTTTTCACCTAATAATGCTGTGAAAAACACAGTTCCTCTCCTAGCGTGACAGTGTTCCCTCATTGCACGGTATCTATGAAGGAGCAGCACTGTCACCATACGCTGCTCTCGTGATTTCACTTTCTTCTCATCTCCATTACATAGGGTGGAAGTGTATTGTAGTTCACAGAAGACAACTTAGAAAGTTTATAATATTATTTGAGATATCAGTTCACTGTACAGGAAGTTGCAAGGATGCTGGGATTCTGACAAGATCAACATGCATTCTGTACTTGCAGAAAATGTGCTTAACCTGAAAACACTAATACAGCCAACACATCTACAGTAATATGCAATGCATTACATTTTAGTTCTTAGGTTTAGATATAATTTCATTGTAGGGATAACCAGCAAATATAAAATTGTTGTGTAAATGTTTGAATGTTTCTATATAGCAAGATAAGTTTAATTGTGTTTTTTTACAGGCTACAGTATCTGCCGTGGTTCCGCACATAACCTGTCACCAGTGAATACTTCCTTGTCAACTGGAACAGCAAATGTATTTCCGTATACACCTAAAACTTACTCCTGTCCCAACTACTCAGTTTCACCTCCTTTGTCTTTGGCTAATGGAAACCACATGGAGCAAAGGCTATTTATTTCTAATCAGGCTTCTTATTTCTGAAAATGTATGCAGCACATTGAATTTGTTTTAAATAGTTTTTAGTTATCTCTTTTGTGTGTATGTGGGTGTGTATATACATAAGTACTTATAGCAGAAGAGCCCTTTGTGTCTCCATGAGTTTTATCGTACGTAGCTTGTTTTTATCATTATTTTTATTTCTTAGTAAGAACCTATATTGAAGAAGAATGAAGACTACCATTAATGACATCTCCTGAAATTACCTGGCTGTCATCCTAGGTCATCATGGGCTTTAGCACTTGAATTTGCTGACTTGGAATATGTATAGAAATCAGGAGTTCTGATTTTCCTGATTTGTATATAGTACTTGTTCCATGTTAGCATCTCAATGTATTGTAGCCAGAGATAGCTAAGAAACTATCAGTTTCAGAAGTAATTCAGCAAGCACAGCCGTTTTACTAAGCCTGTTTACGTAGTACATGGATTCCTTTAATACTTTGTGCATTATCCACAAACTTTGGCTTGTGGGCTGAGTGTTAAAAACAGAAGTTAACTTAGACATACCAACCATAATAACCAATTATAAGACATGTTTACCTGAGAAAACTGCTTATTTTCAGTGGGCTAATACATCACGTTTAGTACAGTTTTACAAAGTCCAAATATTGTGCTTGTGGAGATTTGTATCTTTGGGGGAAAAAATAGTGAAATGTATAGAAAAAATATAGATCTCATTTGTCTAAAGGTTAATTTGTAAAGATTTGATATAGCCATTCCTCAAGTAAAAGTGCATGGCTTCCTGGATCCATATCCCTCTTCCTGGATGACTTTTCCTCCTGGCTACCGTTCTTCCTCTCCTCTGAGCTACCCGCCATCATCCTTGGGGATTTCAACATCCCTGTCAACCTCGACAACCCGGCCACATCCCATCTCCTCCACTTAACCTCCTCCTTTGCACTTGCACAGTGCATACAATCCACCACCCACTCCGACGGTAATATCCTTGATCTCGTCTTCTCCAACCGCTGCGCTCCCCACAACCTCACTAACACCCCCTTCCCTCTCTCTGACCACAACCTGATTACCTTCTCTATCTCCTCATCCTCCAACGCCTACCCCTCCAAATGTCACACTACTACCAGCCGTAACCTCCGCAACCTTAACCCTGCCCCCCTCCACTCTGCAGCTGATCAACTCCACGACAGCATCCTCCCCCTGTCCTGACCCTACCTGGCTATGACTGCCTACAACAACGCGCTGTCAACAGCCCTTGACTCACTAGCGCCTTTAACCACACACAACATCAGACCCCGACCGCTCCAGCCCTGGCAGACTGATCACACCAAAACCCTCAAACGACACAGTCGTGCCCTGGAGTGACTATGGCACAAAACCAAATCCCAACAAGCCTTCACCCGCTACAAATCTGCCTTCCAGACCTCCTCCCTCCACACAGCCAAACAAGCCTACTTCCTGACCCTCATCAAGGCCCTCTCCTCCAATCCTCGCCGACTCTCCTCCACCTTCAACTCTCTACTCTCGCCACCCCCCACCTCCACCCAGCACCTCACGCACTGCCCTTGAGATTGCCAATCACAAGATTGACACAATTCGCAAGGACATCGCAGCAACTCACACGCCCTCTCAACCTGTTCCCTCTCACACAGCTACCCCCTCATCCCCCCTCTCTCCTTGACATAACCCGCAGGGACTTCGTCGCTGCTCAAACTCCCTCCAACCCCATTCCCCCTCACTCAGCTACCCCCTCATCACCCCTCTGCCACGGCCCCACCACTGCTCTGACCTCCACTTCCACCCCACCTTTCATTCCTCATACTGAAGCCCCCCCAACACTTCACACCTTTCACCTTACTACCATCGAGGAAGTCTCCAAGATCCTCTCTGATGCCCGCCTCACCACCTGTCCCCTCAACCCTATCCCCTCACAACTACAACCTCCCTCCCCCTCCATCCTACGCTCCCTCACCCACATCTTTAATCTCTCCCTCTCCTCCGGCACTTTCCCCTCCCCTCTGAAACATGCACACATCACCCCCATACGTAAAAAGCCCTCACTGGACCCCAATGACCCAAACAACCTCATACCCATCTCCCTGCTCCCATTTACATCCAAACTCCTCGAGCGCCTAGTCTACACCTGCCTATGCTCTCACCTCAACGACAACAACCTCCTCGACCCCCTACAGTCCGGCTTCCGTCCCCTACACTCCACCGAAACTGCCTTACTCAAACTCTCCAACGACCTGCTAAACGCCAAAGCTAATGGCCACTATTCAGTGCTCCTACTCCTTGACCTCTCTGCGGCCTTCGACACAGTCAACCACCCCCTCCTCCTCAAAAAACTACACTCCCTCTGCCTCAGAGATTCTGCTCTCTCCTGGCTCTCATCCTACCTGTCACAACGCTCTTTCAGCGTTTCCTATAATGCTACCACCTCCCCCTCACTCCCCCTCTCTGTTGTGGTCCCTCAAGGCTCCGTCCTCGGGCCCCTTCTCTTCTCCATCTACACCTCCTCCCTTGGCCAACTCATACACTCTCACGGCTTCAACTACCACCTATATGCCGACGACACACAAATCTATCTCTCAACCCCCCACCTCACCCCCTCAGTCTCTGCCCGAATCACACACCTACTGAGCGACATATCTGACTGGATGTCGCTCCACTTCCTTAAACTGAACCTCTCCAAGACCGAGTTTCTTGTCTTCCCCCCAGCCCGGACACCACCCCCCATTGACTTCTCCATCATGTCCAACAACACCACCATCAAACCTGCCCCGCAGGCCAGAGTACTTGGTGTCATTCTGGACTCCAACCTATCCTTCCAGCCCCAAGTCCAATCTTTAACAAGCTCGTGCAGACTCCACCTCCGCAACATCGCCAAAATACGCACGTTCCTAACCCCAGAAACTACTGAACAGCTCATCCACTCCCTCATCATATCACGACTCGATTACTGCAACTCCCTCCTTACTGGCCTGCCTCGCCGCTGGGTATCCCCGCTTCAGTCGATCCTGAATACGGCAGCCAGACTAATTCACCTTTCCAACCGCTCCATCTCCACCACCCCCTCCGCCAATCCCTCCACTGGCTTCCGATTGCGCAACGGATCAAATTCAAAATCCTAACACTGACGTACAAAGCCGTCCACCACACTGCCCCGAACTACATCACTGACCTAATATCCAAGTACCACCCAACACGCACATTCCGCTCCTCACAAGACCTCCTTCTCTCTAGTTCCCTGGTCTCCTCCTCCCATGCCCGCCTCCAGGGTGTCACCCATCCTCTGGAACTCCCTGCCCCAACCCATCAGATTATCACCTACTCTCCTCTCCTTTAGGCGCACCCTGAAAACCCATCTCTTCAGGGAAGCCTACCCCACCCCCTGCTAACTTGCCGACCTCCTCCACTCTTCCTACCACTCCATCCCCCACAGCTATCTCCTCCTGTGCCACCATCCCCTCCCTCCTAGATTGTAAGCTCGAAAGAGCAGGGCCCTCAATCCCCTCATGTTTTGCATTGTATTGTTATTGTTCTGTCACATGTTCTGTCCCCCTTTGTAATGTACAGCGCTGAGCGAACTATCGGCGCTTTATAAATACTGTATAATAATAATAATAATGTACAATCATTCTGTGCAAATGGGGCAAGAAAAAGAATGTAAACCAGCTATAACCTGTGCTTTCAAATGTAAATCATTAGCACTTGACCACTAGATGGAGCTAAGTATCATAGACATTTCATATTCTTTGCTCCATCTTGCTGCATTGTATAACCTATGCATTTTTGCTCCATTCACACAGAAGAAATGTACATGTACTTTCACTGGCCAAATTACGATGTGAATTCCTTATGAATCAAGCCCTCTTAGTGTATGGAACTTTCTGTGTGGCCCAACAACAACTTACCAAATTCAGACTTTCATAATCTCTCATTTTGAATCTGATTAGACACAAAAAAATTAAGCTGAGGGTGTTTTTTTTCTATCATATTACATGCATTCAAAAAGTCAAAGTGGTATTAGTTTTCATCTGTTATTAATTGTTGTCATATTAAAGGCAAATATCACTGATTTAGTAGATTACCTACTCTGGTGGATATTTTCATCAGTTATCATTAGTTAAATGTTTGATTATGAAGTTAGAAAGTCTTTAAGTGTGCCTCAAACAAAATAATTAATTGATAATAAGGGAGTACTATCATCTTTCAAATGACATAAAAAAAAAAAAACCGGGGGGAGCACAAATACACCAAATCTTATGGATTGAGTACCCAAGGAACAACAACCATGTATAATTAAAAATACAAACAATTTATTTGTTACACATCTTAAAAGTGTTAACATAAAGAGATATAATTTGTCAACCAATTTAATAGTCTCTTAATGTTAGCTTAAATTTCAGGCATTTGAAGAAGAAAAAGAAATTGGGCAAATTTTATATTTTCCCATGCAGTGGGTTAAATGTTCGTTTTTGTCTAGGGGCTCAGAAAGCAAAGATATACTTACCTAATCCACTGATCCTCCGAGCACAAGACCGGTCCCATAGACCAACTCTGGATGTGAGGATGGCAGTAACAGTCCACCGAACAGTCCACCACTGGACTTGGGGGAGCACGATTTTTCTGGGAGGATGGGTAAGTACAGTGGGGAAAATAATTATTTGATCCCCTGCAGATTTTGTAAGTTGCCCACTTACAAAGAAAGGAAGAGTCTATATTTTTATCATAGGTATATTTTAAATGGTAGAAAAAATTATCAACCAAAAATCCAGAAAAAACACGATACAAATGTTATAAATTGAGTAGCAGTTGAGTGATTAAAATAAATAAGTATTTGATCCCCAATTAAAACATTGTCAGGGAGCGGAGCGAGGAGCCAGACACACAAGGAGGTGCAATTAAAGGTAGGCTTTATTAATATAAAAATAAGAGACGAGTCTATGCAAGTCCAACAGCGGAAATCATAGCCAAAGCCGGGGTCAAGAGCCAGGCAGAATCGTTGCCAGAGTCGGGATCAG